TTTTTTTAATATGGAACGTCCTATAAATTTGCATGTCATCCTTATGCTGGGGCCATGTTGATTTCTCTGTATCATGCCAGTTTTAGTATATGTGCTGCTAAATCAAATTCCTTTGCCTCGTTTTGAAAGTGGATTTGCATCCTGCTATTGGAGTAAACTTGAGCCCTTTGATTTACACGGCTGCAGGTTGTGTCGTTGCTCCATATATTTATTCTCTCAGCGCCGTGTCTAAGAGCACAGTAGAAGGAAGAGGCTAGGAAAGAGCACCTGAACTGAAGTGAAGATAGGAGGGAGAAGGCGGCAAGACAGTGAGATAGTGTCCATGTAGTATAGGTATCTCCAGGTTTTCCAATTGTCAGTGGAAGCTTTTATCATAGGCCCAAAATCTGTCTTTCATTGTGACCATGGAGGCACAGGAAACTTGAACCCCCCCTTATAGTCACTGATGATTTTCATAGGATTATAGTTGGGAATAGGAGTAGTCATAAACATTTCCTATAAATGATAGTTGTAGATTTTCACCCAAAGATGCAGCACATGGGTTGCCATAGAAAATGTACTTGGAATGAAGTAGGAATGACCATGTCAAAAGGTCTCCCTTCAGATCCTAAGCAATTCTGTTCTAAAAGAACTATGAAAACTGGGCTTAAATGAGACAGAGTTTCAGATGGCCAGAGTGAGAATACTGACAGTCCAGACTGAGTATCGTCCCACTCTTCCAAGTCCTTAAAGCTGCGGTCCCCAACCCCTGGGCTGTGGCCTGGTAGCCTATTAGGAACCTGGCTGCACATCACCAGCTGAGCTCCCCCCACCATGTGGAAAAATTGTCTTCCATGAAACTGGTCCGCAGTGCCAAAAAGGTTGGGACCTGCTTCCTTAAAGCACATTGTCTTTGTAGTCAGAAACCCTGCCTTTACCCCAGGATAACGCTAGTTATCCTTTTTTACTTTCTCTTACTACTTTACTTTCTCTATTACTAGATGGATTAGATTCCTTCTCTTCTGCCATTTACTTTGATTTTGTTCTTCAGAATTGAAGTATGTTTTTATATTATAAAGTAACATGGCTGGGTGTGCAGTAGCTCACACCTGTAATCCTAGCACTCTTGGTGGCCAAGGCAGGAGGATCGCTTAAGGTCAGAAGTTCAAGACCAGCCTGAGCAAGAATGAGACCCCATCTCTACAGAAAAAGTTGAAAAATTAGCTGGGCGTGGTGGCACGTGCCTGTAGTCCCAGCTACTCTGGAGGCTGAGGCAGGAGAATGGCTTGAGCCCAGGAGTTTAAGAGTGTGGTGAGCTGTAATGACACCACTGCACTTTGTCCCCCCAAAAAAAAGAAAAGAAAAAAAAAATCACAAGGGGGAGACGGGGTGCAGAAGCTTATTCCTATAATGCCAGCATTCTGGGAGGCCAAGAGAAGGGGGCAGGCATTTGAAGCCAGGAGTTTAAAACCAGCCTGGGCAATGCGGTGAAACCCTGTCTCTTAAAAAAAAAAATTGATCAGGTGCAGTGGAATGCACCCATAGTCCTGGCCACTCGGGAGGCTGAGGCAGGAGGAGTGCTTGAGCCTAGGCATTAGAGGCTGCAGTGAGCTATCAGCACGTTACTGCACTGCAGCCAGGGTGACAGAGTGAGACCCTGTCTTTGAAAAAAAAAAAAAAATCGCCATGGGGAGTTTTTTGGGATTTTTTTGAGACAAGAGTCTCACTCTGTCGCCCGAGCTAGAGTGCAGTGGCGTTATCATAGCTCACTGCAACCTCAAATTCCTGGGCTCAAGTGATCCTCCTGCCTCAGCCTCCAGGGTAGCTGGGACTACAGGCGTGCACCACCACGCTCGGCTAATTTTTCCTATTTTTAGTGGAGATGGGGTCTCACTCTTGATCAGGCTAGGAGGAAGTTTTTAAAATATATAGATTTTTGGGTCTCCCTCTAGATGTTCTAAATTTAGAAGGCCTGGGGAAAGGTCCAAAAATCTTTGATTTTTTTTTAAGGTTCCATAGATTATTTTAATGCACAATGAAATTTGGGAACCACCAGTTTTCTCTACAGTCCATAAAATCTGCTTGTAGTGACATATTGTTAAACCTTTGTTCTTTTTTTTCTACTGAGGTACTAGCAGAATTGGGCCCATGCCAATATAATCACACTTCCAGGGGTTAGACTGCCCTCACTCTTATTTTTTCTAAGAGTATTTCTTAGCATCACCAAGTTGGATGTGAAGAAAACAGTATGGCTCCTGATCACTGGTGTTTTTCAGGAAGCAGCTTGGAATATTGTCAGTATTAGATTTTGGAGGGCCTAGCTTCTGCTCCTGGCCTTGGTTCTCATCTGTAAAGAGAGAAAGTTGGAGTAGAGGTATAGAGAAGTTTAAAGTAGACTTTTGCCTTTGAGTCTTGATCATCAGCTAGATAAAAGAAGGTCATTCCTCTTTATCTGCAAACTCTGTTAGTGTTGTTTTCATTTACTTAGTCCACTTTTCAGCTAACTACAGTCTGGTGAACAGGTGTCTTAGCTATATCAGCTAGTGTCTATAGACTATCTGCTTGTCTTAATTAATTCAGGCTGCTATAACAAAATACCATAAACTGGGTAGCTTATAAACAACAGAAATTTATTTCTCACAGCTCTGGAGGCTAGAAATCTGAGGTCAGGGTGCTGGCAGCTTCAGTATCTGGTGAGGGTCTGTTTCTTTGATTCCAGACAGCTGTCTTCTTAGTGCACCCCTCACATGGTGGTTAGAGAGCTCTTGGAGGTCTCTTTAAAAAGGACACCAATCCCATTCCTGAGGGCTTCCATATGCATGACTTAATTATCTCCAAAGGCCCTCCCTCCTAATACCATCACATTGGGGGGTTGATTAGGTAGGATCTCAACATATTGGGGGGAGGGGGCACAAACATGTAGGCAGGGTAGGCAAACTTCTGATGACCAAGATCCAGTTCTGCCTTCAGGAGATGAATCAGTAAGGATATAGAGTAAATAGAGGAATATAGATATTAATATCCTTTCACTGAAGAGGTTACTGCATGTTTCCAGCGGGACAGGGCTGATTAAGAGCTCTCCCTAATCCCCATTTTGTGAAAATTAGTCAAATGTTGTATAAAAGTAGGACGTCATCTATTTTTAAAACACAAAGGTAAGCATGACTTTGTAGTGTAGACAATGTTAAAAAATTTGCCTCCATATATATCCAGTATAAAACAAGTTGTTAATAGTTCTTGGGAATACCCATCACAAAGAGATTAAAAGGACCATACTGTTTGAGCCAGTGGGAATAATGTGATCACTACCATTTAATGAGACTACAAATGGGTTTGCTCTAACAGTGGTTCTTTCTCTCTCTTGGTTATCATTTTAATTCTTAAAACATCCCTGTGAGGTAGATGGTAAGATCTTGAGTTTGGGTTTAGTAAGTTGTTCAAGGTCACATAACTAATAAGTGCTCAAGTCACTGAGCTGTTTTTACCTCTTGACCGATTCCAGCCTTTTCTTCCCATTAGCCCCGCTTCTTTGTCCATTCCAAAAGGGAATGAGCTTTTGTCATATCATGTTTTCTTCCCCAACTTTTGTTTTCCTCTGGTTTTCTTTCCTAAGCTCATTACTTTAACTTCTTTTTCTGTTGCTTCCACCCCAAGTTTCAGACTGAAATAAAAAATCTGTGGTGGGTTTGAGGAAAGTATAGGGCACATTGGTGACTTTTTATTCCTCTCTCCCTCCCTCATCATCCCCTCTTTCTCGTAAATGAAGGAATCAAACCTGAGTTTTAACCAGTTAGCAGAAGGCATCTTAAGGACAAGGAATTTGTCTTGTTCAATGTAAAAACTCCTAACATTTAGCACTGTATGTAGTACATAGGCATTCAATAAGTGTTTGAGTGAATAAATCCAGTTTGCACCATACGTTTATTTAAGAATAGTTTTGCCTGCTTCGTAGGAATTATCCTGAGTATTGACTGGGCTGTACAAGTCTCTCTAAGCACAGACCTTTTTGTTGTTTGGTTGACACACATCATGGTTTTCAAAGTAGCTGTTAATAGTAAATGTTTGGGAAGGCTCAGATTGAAATTTTTTAGTTTAGCCATTCTCTACCACTACTCATGTTACAACTATGCTATAGGAAGGTCTTTTTAAATTAACAACCAAGACCATTTCCCAGGCATTTTGTTTTTCTCTCTTTTCAGTACCAGAGTACTCCTTTTAATGATTTGAGTGGGTATGTTAAGGTCTTCATAGGTTTTAAAGGTTTTAAACTTTTTGTTTATTAATGTACTTGAATACAAAGCACTCTGGATGCCAACACAATGCTTTGGGAAGGGTATCGTGGCCAAATTACGGTGTAACCAAGTGTATGTAACAGTGACATAACAGGTAACAGGGTTGATTAATGTCCCAACTGTAATATTTAGAGAACTCGATTATAGAATTTTATATTGAAATGAAAATTGAATAACTTGCAGTTGGATACTTGTCATCATTATCCTTGTTCTCTCACCCAGCATGGTTTATGACACAAACAGTATGGAAGTCTACCGGATTGTTTTTAGAGTAAGATTGTAGAAATACAAGAATAAGGAAGAAGAAAGAGCCAGTTGGTAGGTCAGAAGTGAAACGTTTGTGCTACATCAGAAATGATGGAGCTCTGAACAGAAATTACCATCATTTATTACTAATTTAGCTTTTGTTTGCTAAGATGTGTTTCTTTTTAAGTATTATTTACATTTTCTTACATGTCGTCAACAAGAGGTTTGAGAATTGGGGAAGAAGTTTCTTATTCACAGCTAGGCAGGATTAGAATGGTTTTAACATTCTTTTATCATCCAGTTTACTGAGGGCTGACAGATTTCTTGCGGTTTCTGTCTGAAAGATGATTCTGTTTTGTGAAGATAATCCACATATTAAACAAAAAGGGAGGAGAGAGGTGATCTTTTCCCCTTTTGGGGTACACTGGAAAAAATGGGATAGTGCTGCCATCTACTCATATCTGCTGACATGTTATTTCACAGTGCTGGTCCCAAAGGCGATAACATCTATGAATGGAGATCAACAATTCTAGGGCCCCCAGGATCTGTGTATGAGGGTGGTGTGTTCTTCCTTGATATTACTTTTACACCAGAATATCCCTTCAAGCCTCCAAAGGTAAGACATTTCCCTAATTTATGCTCAAATTTACTAATTCCCATGAGAAATTGAGGTTTTTTTTAGATTTGATTTTTAATCACAAAAATTAGTAAATTTCTGTTATGTCCTAATGAATCTAAGTATATTAGAACACTTCTTTGGGTTGACTGGCCTCATCTGGCAGAGACCTTTCTAGGAGTAAGTGCTTTATTTTGATTTAAAATTATGCTATTTATAGTAATGTTGTCAGCACCCTGGAATTAACCTATTTGTAGCCTACAGAAAAAGTTTTTGAATAGTCAAAAATGGTGTCAAACCAGGCCAGATGTTGACACACACCTGTAGTCCAAGCTACTGGGGAGGGCCTCAGCTATGAGCCCCTGTCTGGGCAACAAAGCAAGACCCTGTTGTCAAAATATCCATGCACTGAAACAGCTACAGAATTGGAATCTCTTACCAAAGCTTTGTATCCTGCTCCTTATCTTGCCCCCCCCAATTCCTTACCTTCAGGCCTTGATTTTCTCTGTAGGATAGGTGGGGATTGCCCAAATCACCCGTCTCTTACAACACTCAGTGATCTATATTCTCATTCACACTGTCAGAATAGGGTAGACTGGTAGGTACAGGTACAATTGCAGCAACAAGAAGTAATTGAAAGTGCATCATTTTTTTTAAAAATTGGAAAAGTTACAGGTAATTTTTACTTCGGTGTGTTTCAGTATATTTCACAAAAATTAGGAGACAAAACAAAATAATCCATGCTCATGTGGCTTGTGTTGATTTGTCTACTGCTGTAGCCCTTGCCCATTACTGGTTCCTCATCCATGGAAAATGTATTATAGGAGACTCTGATTTAGGTAGACAAGATGTTTGCAGGATCTGATCTAAAGGTCACAAAAAGCAGAAACAGATCTCTCTCCAAATTTTATACAGCTTTTTGGGTATGTAGTCATTGTTCACTAAGCATTTTGTTTAATTGTCTTTATTCACGATGTTGTACCTCAATTTGTATGAGGTATTATAATTTATGATTTTCAGTGTTTTATTCTGAAGCTTACTTTAAGGTAATGTAGTAAGTATTACCAGCTACTAACACAAGAGGTCAGCAAACAATTAGCTATTCAAACTTGGAAAGGTTAATATTTAAAACATTAAAATTGCTAAAGATGAATTCAGGAAGTATTAAACTTTTGTCAGTGACAGTACTTTCAAGATGAGATTGACTAGTATCAATGAACACTTTCTGATGAAATTTATTAAACAGCCCCCCCACCTTTTTTTTTTTTTTTTTTTTTTTTTTTTTTTTTGAGACAGAGTCTCACTGTGTTGCCCAGGCTAGAGTGCCGTGGTGTCAGCCTAGCAGCTCACGGCAACCTGAAACTCCTGGGCTCAAGCAGTTTTTCTGCCTTCGCCCCCGAGTAGTTGGGACTACAGGCATGTGCCACCATGCTTGGCTAATTTTTTCTATATATTTTTAGTTGTCCAGCTAATTTCTTTCTATTTTTAGTAGAAACGGGGGTCTCACTCTTGCTCAGGCTTGTCTCAAACTCTGACCTCAAGCGATCCTCCCACCTCGTGCTAGGATTACAGGCATGAGCCACCGCGCCCGGCCTTAAACAGCCCTTTACCCTGTCTTCTTGTCAGCTTCAGTTAAAACTGTTATTTTATTCATCTTTTTAAAAACTAAATATCTGGGGGAGGGTTGTTTTTAATTATTAAGGGTCACTACATTGAAAATTTAGTAAAAAGCTTAATTGTTTTCTGTTTGAATGTTGTTTGACACTACCTTATTTTTTCAGGTTACATTTCGGACAAGAATCTATCATTGTAATATTAACAGCCAAGGTGTTATTTGCTTGGATATATTGAAAGATAATTGGAGTCCAGCACTAACCATTTCTAAAGTCCTCCTTTCTATCTGCTCACTTCTTACAGACTGTAATCCTGGTAAGGTTAATAATTCTTTACCTTGTTTCATTTTTCCTCACCTGAAAAATACTTTTCTACATAAACTGATTTTCTAAAGAGATATTTTATTTGTTTAAGAACTTTCAAAGGACAAAACTAATTTGCTTCTCAAAGTTTTAGTCAAAAAAGTTCAATCCACTAGTTGAAAAATGCAACTCTACCATGAGTTGATACGTTCTAGGAATAAGGTATTTTAAACTGAAGACTTACGTAAGTTTGGCTTACGTTATTACACTTTCAGTCATTCTCCCTCCTTTTTTTTCCTCTGTTGCATTATTTCCCATATAGTTCTTTCCAAATGTCATCATCTGCCTGACTAACCTCACCTGTGCCTGCTGGTTTCACTTTCACTGGCACTTTCCCCGTTAGTTGGTATTCAACTTTGAAAATGTTATTTCTTTGCTAAATACACAGTGATTAGTGAACTGTGAATTTGTTGGGACTTAATTTCCTTTTATTTAAAAATTTTCTAGGGCTGGCTTTAGCTCAGCATTTCCTTCGACAGTGTTTTATCAACCTCTTTGTGGAGTCAGAGCGGTTCGAGACCCACGGGTGCTCTCCAGCCCTTTAAAAAAAATAAATAAAAATTTTCTAGATAAACCAAATATAAATTTAGTTATTAAAGATTCAGAGAAACACTATACTTACTTAATTGGATATCCAGGTTTGACCTGGCTCTTTCTTGGTATACAGTGTAGTAGAGGTAAGTAGTGTTACATTGCAGCAGTCTCCAAGACTTCACAGTATTCACAGTGCCGTAATTGGTGCCATTGAGCTAAAGGTCATATGAACACAGCTGGATGGTCATTGTAGTTTGGAGCCTTAAACATTCAAGAGCAAAAGAAACTCCAGTTGGGTGTTGGGAGAGAAATAGAATGAACTAGGGAGATAAAGCCAGACCAGTACTAAAGCCTGAGCATTCTATTTTGGTAAGAATCTCTCTTCCACCTTTTAAGTTTAAAAGGAAAAAATACCCCAGAATGGTGAAGTGGTATTTTAAACATGGGTTTGATCACACATACTTTGTTGTACATTCTACCCAAGCTATTACTAACGTGTTTGTGAAAGTTTAAAATGTTTTTTTCCTTTCTACAAAGTAATCTATGTTCTTTTCTTCCAGCTGACCCGTTGGTGGGAAGTATTGCCACTCAGTATATGACCAACAGAGCAGAACATGACAGAATGGCCAGACAGTGGACCAAGAGATACGCTACATAAATTGGGTTTTCACAATTCTTAGATTATTTGTCTGTCACAGAGAAGAGAGCTGCTTATGATTTTGAAGGGGTAGGGGAGGGTGGGAGTTGGTAAAGAGTAGGGTATTTCTATAACAGATATTATTCAGTCTTATTTCCTAAGATTTTGTTGTAACTTAAGGTATTCTTGCTACAGTAGACAGAATTGGTAATAGCAACTTTAAAACTGTCATTAGTTCTGCAATATTAGCTGAAATGTAGTACATAAAAGAATGTACATTTAGATATTCGGGTTCAGTTGCTTGTAGTCTGTAAATTTAAAACAGCTTAATTTTGTACAGGTTATACACATGGCCATTTATGTAAAGTCCCTCTAAGACTACATACGTTCTTGTTTAAAAAAAAGGAATTTGTTTTCCCTTCTTGGAAGGGACATTGATATTTAACAGAGTTTTTGGAGACTTGTCATCTCATATATATAAAATGGACATGTGGCTATAAGACAACGTATAGGAAATGAGTAGTTAATGTATTTTATTTTATATGCCAATCTATTGTTAAAAGATTAAAGGTTTGGATCAGGAATTGTGAAAACCTGTAGTGAAATACCTTAAGCTGTTAACTGTAAGGCGTGGAATTAGGAGTTGCTCAGTGGATTGGTTATATGTTGTGGACTACTTAAGTCTGCATTTGTTACTGTGCTAATAAACAATATTAAAAACAACCACCTGATGCGGCTATGTTCACTTACTTTTGCCTTTTCTTTTTTTTTTTCTTTTGAGACAGTCTTGCTCTGTCACCCTGGGTAGAGTACAGCGGCGCAATCCGTAGCTTACTGCAACCTCAAACTCCTGGGTTCGAGCCATCCTCCTGAGTAGCTGGGACTACAGGTGCATGCCACCACGCCTGGCTAATTTTTCTATTTTTGGTAGAGACGGGGTCTAGCTCTTGTTCAGGCTGGTCTCGAGCTCCTGAGTTCAAGCAATCCTCTCATCTCAGCCTCCCAGAGTGCTAGGATTATAGGTGTGAGCCACCACGCCTGGCTAATAATGCATATTTAATAAATAGGTGTCTTTAAAAAGGTTAAATAAACTATACTGCATTTTTTTAAAGGCACTTGCCTAACTTGCAGATGGTGTGGTGGGAAATGCATGAGAAATGGGTTCTCTCGTGGATAAACTGGTACGGCCATCTTAGAGGGCATTTTGGCAATACCTAAGTATGCACATACATGACCCAGCAGTTCTGTCTCCTCCAGAGAAACTCAGGTACGCATATGTTCATTACCACATTCAAAAACAATATGGTAACTCTGTACTAATACAGATCTAAATTGCATTAGAAGAAAAGCAAACTGTAGGGTGATACTATTTAAAGATAATTATGAAAGCATCTATGTAAAATACATGGGGAAAAAAGCTTAGACAGATCAATACTCAGTAACTGGGAAAAAAGGCAGGGGGTGACTTAATACCTGATTTTATTTTTTTTTTGAAACGGCGTCTTGCTCTGTTACCTGGGCTAGAGTGCAATAGCATTGCCATAGCTCTCACTGCAGCCTCAAACTCCTGGGCTCAAGCCTAACGAGTGATGAGAAATTTTAAAAGAATTATACATGGCTTGAATTTCATGAACTGAGCCACTTGAGCTTAAAAATATTCAAGATGTTGCAATTTATTTGATGCTTTAATGTTCTTTGCTGAATAGCTTATTTCATACTTCACATTTAAATCAAATAGTTAACTGCTTTTGCAGATGAAACCACTAATCAGCTTGCTTCCTACGTTTTAGTTATGCTATCAACTTGTTAAATACAGTTAGCCGCATTGCTCAGATACTGCCAAAGTCTTTAGAGAACTGTAGCACAAACTCAGATAATTAATGTTAAGATCACCTATAGCCCAGTATTTTTATGATATATTTTATTGCACATAACTAGGTTATCTAGGAAACTATTCCAGAAGATACAGTATTCCTCCTGGAAAATGGAAGCCTTACTGTCCTTAAGTGCTTAGCCATTTTCAAACAGAAAAAACAGTTTGCCCTCTAGTATTCAGTTTATCAGCAGGGGTCTGGCTGAAGGAAAAAAAAGGCCTTTTGAGTGGAAGGAGCCTACTAGACTACCTAGTACCTCAAGTCATTCTAAACATAATTTGGGCAAACCAGTATCTTGAGTTTGTTCTATTTAGCAGCATCTCCACAACATAAAATTTAGCTTAGTTTGTACCCAAAGTGTTCACTGTTTTTAGTCCAATTTGAACACAATGACAAGTTTTACAGTATTAGATGACTAATGAATTTTTTAAAAGTTATGTTTGAGCTAGGAAGTTTGCACAAAGTTAACACTGCACGATAGCTTCTGAAACAGCTTGGAGTTGGGGAGAAGTTACACATAGGTGCATTTGCATACTAACCAAACTTTATTTTACTGTTTGAACAAGTGCAACATAAATAACAAGGGTGCTAATTTTAGGGACAGATTTCAAACAATGAGAATGAAAATACATTATTTCATATTAGGCAATAGTAAACTTAGCCCAAATAATTTAAGTATAACCTCTAACATGCATTAACTTCCTTAGGTGTTTTTTAAGGACCTAAGGTAGATATAAATAGCCTATTTTAAATACTAATCTCACTCCGTGTTCACAAACACTTAAAGGCAATCACTATTCAACAATTGCGGAATTACAGATTTTTAGTTCTCAGAGCTAGAGTTCCCTTTGTTTTTCCTCCCAGGCAAAGGAAAGCTCGATTTGCTCTGGGGCTGGGAAAGTTTACTGGCTAATAAAGTGAATGGTTCAATCAGAGTTTTCCGATCAGTAACGGTTACCTCCCACAGTCTCACTTTCTCACTTTTTGCCCACTGCTGTGCCACTTCAGCGTCCACTTGTCTCTGCTCAGAAAGGTCAATTTTGTTTCCTAATACAACAATTGCTACCTGAAAGAAAATGGATTAAAAAGATCATACTAGTACTTTGTCAACATCAGTTCTTAGGCAAAATGGAGACATTAGGAAAACGGTTCCATTTAACAAACTTTCATTAAACTGATTCTTAGATATAACCAGAATGGTAAGATAGTAGGACATCACCTCACTCCTCCTTAGTGCATTTTTGTTAAAAATATGGATGCTATACAGTTTGCTAACTGTAAAAAAATTTAAATTAGCAAGTGAAGTTACTTTTTACTTCGGGTATGAATGGTAGATGGGAAACTAACATCTAGAATACAGGTAATGGTTTAATGTGTCTGCATTTCAGTTTGGCTATACTTGATGTTTAAGAGATTTGCAATACAGGACTTCAAAGTAAAATGAGACAACGCCTGGAGCTGTATGAGTTCTATCTATACCCCTAGGACCTAAGTTGCAGGAGAATAGGAATTTTTGTTGTGTTCACATTATTCCCAAGGCTAGAAAAGTGCCTGCTAATATCTGTTGAATACATGGGCCAACAGGAACATTTTACACAAACGCTTATTATACACACCAGGCACTGTTTGAGGTGACCAGAACACAGCAGTCATGACACAAAGTATAAGGAGATAGGAGAAGAAGTAATACTCAGATTTTCAGAGAGTTCCTGTAAAGAAGACAAAACAGGACGATGTGGCAGTGGAGAAAGCGCAGCAAGAATTGTCAAAGGCACCTCTGAGGCACAGCAGCAATGAACTAATAAAATCTTGAGCCTCACTGGCTTTGTTCCTGCCTTTAAGTTGAGCTCCTTATGCTCCAGGTAAGGCCATGCCTTGCTGGCAAGATGAAAGAGCAGGCCCCGAATTCTGGTTTTCTTGGTAAATCTCATACCCCATCTCACAGCAGGAGCCATGCCCACTCTGATCTCCATCTCCCTCTCCTCCCAACTGCAGAAACTTTCACTTTACCACCTAGAATTCAGCAAAATCCGCCTCCGCCCACCCCAATCTCTCACCTCTGCTTTGAATGTTCCCTTCACATTCTTGCCTAGCTGAATCCTTGCTCTGCCTTGCAGTCCAGCTTCCCCCATCACGCCCCTCCTACCGCTGCCACTGGGAAAGGGCCAGGAGGCAGTGTTAAGTTGTCCTCATTGTCCCTCAGTGTTGCCTCCAACAGTGTCCTTTCCTAAAAGCCCCAGGGAAGGCTGGCGCTATCAATCTGCTGTACCTACTAACTGCCCCTCACCCTCCACTCTGGAAATCACTCCTCTGAAATCACTCCTAGTGATGTCACCAGCCATGTGGATGATGCTTCCAGTGACCTGGTCTCTCAGTTCTTTGACTTCTCCAGTGATCTTATCCTTTCCTCAGCCATTCACTGCCTGGTCATATCCTAGACCATGACACTGTAACTGCTCGCCTCTATGACCTCAATTCCAAGCATCCCACTCTAACTTTACCTTCCCAGTCATGCTTAACACCCCAAATGCAACAATTCTAAATGCCACAAGGACATATGACCCACTGACTCTACTGCCTTTATCACTATCCTTCCACCTCACTCATGTCCTCCATTCTTCTCCATGCAGATTATTCAGTCCCACGCCCCCATTATCCCACCATAGTCACCTGGCAAAACTCCTCCTTTGTTAAATTTAACAAGACTGTGCCTACACCATTTAGCTGAATATGGCTGGAGAAAAACACACAACCCTGCTGGCTGGTCCCAATTCATACCACTGACCTCAAACAAGCTGGTGGTCTCCAGCAAATATAGTACATTTTCTCCATTTCATACCTTGGCTCTCTATTACAAGCCCCAACATCTCCCCTTCCTGCCCCACCTTCCTCTCAGCTGATGACCATATTATTTCAGTATGAAAACGAGCAATTAGAAGAGAACTTCACATACTTCTACTATATCCAACAACCTACCATCTTCCAAGCCTATTTCCCTCTGCTCTAGAACCTTGGATAGGGATGTCACTCCAGCAATGCTATCTCATCTAAATAAAACAAACTTTTTTTTTTTTGGAGACAGTCTCACTCTGTCACCCAGGCTAGAGTGCCATGGCGTCGGCCTAGCTCACAGCAACCTCAAACTCCTGGGCTCAAGCAATCCTCTTGCCTCAGCCTCCCGAGTAGCTGGGACTACAGGCATGTGCCACAACATGCAGCTAATTTTTACTATTTTTAGTATAGACGGGGTCTCACTCTTGCTCAGGCTGGTCTCAAACTCCTGAGCTCAAGCAATCCTCAGCCTCGGCCTCCCAGAGTGCTAGGATTACAGGCGTGAGCTACCGCGCCTGGGCTAAAACAAACTTTTTACACCACATTCTTCTCCAGCTCCTCTCTGTTCTCCTTTGTAGCAAAACTCAAAGAGCTGTCTCCTGTGTTCAATTCTCTCTAATATCCACTCCAATTAGACTTCATTTCGCTATTTCATTAAAACTGTTTTTGTCCAAACCTCCATTTATTAAAGGATTAGCCAATTCTTAGTCCTCAGCCTTTGGTCACTTCTTAGACTCCTTTGCTGGTTTCTGCCCAACTAACCAACTTGTAAATGTCAAATTCCTGCTCCTCACCTTGTGCCCTAAATGTCCACTGTCAGCACAGCAGCCAAAGTACGTTCAACCTCATTCATATCAAGAAAAATGAAACTACTAAAATACCGTTTTCACCCAGCAGATTCACAAAACCCAAAAGTTTAACCACACACTACTGTCAAGACTGGAGAAACAGGCATTTTCATACCATTCCTGTGGAAGGTAATTTGGCAATATATTTACCCTCTGACTCAAGAACCCCATTTCTGCTGATTTAATTATATCCTAAAACATACAAAATAATACGTGTATAAGATTATTCATTGTAACACAATTCATGATAGTAAAGACTGGAAATAACCCAAGTGTCCATCAGTTTGGAACTAAAGTATGATATACCTATATCCACATAATGAATATTATGCATCAGTTTCAAAAAAAAAAAATTTGAGAAATGAATGGAAACAACTCCAAAATACATTACATAAAAAACACGGGTACAGAACAGTATGCTCCCTGGTGTAAGAAAGAGGAAAAAACATTTTTTTTTCAAATGTACACAATACATACCCGTATTTGCTTATATTTATATGGAGAAACTCTGGCCAGCCAGGACAACATAGGCAGACCTCCTCCTTACAAAAAATTTTAAAAAATTAGCCAGGTATGGTGGTAGCTGTCTGTAGTCCTAGCTACTTGGGAGGCTGAGGTGGGAGGGAGGATTGCCTGAGCCCAGGAGTTCAAGGTTGCAATGAGATATGATCATGCCACTGCACTCTAGCCTGGGCAACAGAGCAAGACCCTATCTCAAAAAACAAAACAAAACAAAAACCCACTTTGGAAGGATGCCCCAAAACTAATAAAGGGGTAAAATATTTTTTAAAAAGCATGCTTGAGGTACAGGATCGTGGTGCTTGAGGCCAGTGGTGGGAACCAGACTTCACTATAGTCCTCCTTACATATCATTTTCATTTTTGAACCCTGTGCAAACATTATTCAATTTTTTAAAAACCAAACATGAAAATAAATAGATGCAACTTAAGCCATATCATGTCCTTCCTTTGCTCAAAACCAGTGGCTTCTGAGCTCACTAAAAGTGAAAGCCAAAGTGTTGCCTTCATTTCCTACAACACACCTTCAAACCCACCCTGGTTTCACTGCTGTTTCCGGAACATGGCAAGCAAACGTCTGCCTCAGATCCTTGCACTAGCTATTCCCTCTACCTGGAACAGTCTTCTTCTAGACATTAGCTCAGCTCCCTCCCTCCTCACTTCCTTTAAATCTCTGCTAAAAGTCACCTTATCAGGAACGCCTTCCCAGATCACCCCACCGAAAATAGCGCCCTCACTTCCAACCTGCTTTACTTTTCTACATAGTCTCATTCTTCATAATGTGTATTTCTTTATTATCTCTCCCCTTCCCTCTCCCAAAATAGAAGCTGTATGAGGATAGGGACTCTGTTTTGTTTGTATTACATTCCTTGCACCTACAAAAATGCCTGGTACATAGTAGAAGATCAATAAGCATTTGTTGAATTATTAAGCTTCTTAAATCCCCATAATATAACCTTGTAAGGAAGGTACTATTATCCTCGTTTTATAGATAAGGAAACTGAGACAGAAAAGCCAAGAAGCCAAGCCAAGATTTAAGTATCAAGTATGGGTGTTCAACTATTCTTTCAATTTTGGAGGAGCAGGGAGGGGAATCCGGAGGATACCCAAGAAAATAATTACAGCATTTACCTGTTTAGGTGGGAAAGATGGGAAACAGGTGGAAGAGGAAGTATCATTACTTTCCTTTTTGTATCTTTTGAAGAAACCTTGTGAATAATTGTATCTATTCACAAAGTAAACAGTATTCAAAATAATAAAAATAAAACATCAACACCCAGATGACCTACCACAGATAAATGGTTAAACAAAGTTGGGTACACACCTACCATGGAATACCATTCAGCAATAAAAAGGAATGAACTATTGATGCATGCAAGGATTTCGATGAATCTCCAGAGAATTATGCTGAGTGAAAAAAGCGAATCCCAAAAGATTACATATATATGATTCCATTTATATAACACCCTTGAAATGACAAAATTATAGAAACGGAGAACAGATCAGTGGTTAGCAAGAGTTAAGGAGGGGTGGGGATGGGATATAGATTAAAAACATCTAGTCAGTGCTATTAACTATTATATTATATGGTTCCCTAGATGATGAAGAGTCAGCCATGCGAAGATCTGGAGAAAGATTTGAGATAAGCAAGTTCCAGGCAAGGGAATAAGCAGTTGAGAAGGACTTAACAGGAGAACAAAATTATCACATTGGAGAAACAGAAAGTAGACCAGTGTCACTGTAATGAGAGAGGAGAAGAATGATAAAGATGAAAGGGATATGCATGGGCCAGGTCATCTAAGTCTTTACAGACCATAGTGAGGCATGCAGGTCTTATTTTTAAGTGGTAAATGGGTTGAATCCAATAATTATTTATTAGGTCCACCCTCTCCCCCTTTTTATAAGGCTGAAGACAAGAATCCTATTTAGCCAAGGAGAGAATAAAAAGCCCAAAGAAACAGTGATCCCAACAACATGCAATGAACTAGGTAATACTTGAGATGTGGAGTCATTAAAATTCAGCTTGTACATGTAATAAGCAAAAGGCAGAAAGTCAAATGCTGCTCTTGATTGAATTCAGTCAGTCCTATATTTCCTGGGCTAAGAAAAAATTACGATGATTTTATAAGTACTCAGAATATAATTTAGTGGTTTTAAAATATTTAAACTACCCAAAAGTCCATGCTATAATTTAAATGATATAATTCACATTTGGCATTTTTAAAATACCCACTTACCTCTTTTTTGTCTTTGAACTTATCAATTTCTTTCTTCAGAAGCTCCACTCTTTGAAAGGATTCAAGGTTATTCACACTGTACACAAGAACGAAGCCATCGGCAAATGAAAAATAATGCTTTGGCAGCTCCACGCCTTCCTGAAGGCCTCTGGTATCATAGAGGTGTAACTGTTCCTTTACTCCTCGATCTGTTTCCACTGAAGCCATATACACATCTTCCATTGTTTCGCAATCTACCATTCCTGGGATTAAAAAGAAATTACTCTTTTTGGATAAGCCAGTGTTAATTATTCAGCATTTTCATCTTGTCCTTTAGAAGCTGGCTTTCTAGGTTTCCTATTTACCACACATAATAATCACATTTCTATTTACTAATTTCTTGAAAGTGGAAAGCAGTTGTTATAGTAAATAAACAAAGTTCCTTTTAAAAATATTTCCTTTGTATAAAAATGAAAGTAATAAAAATCTGGCAATAAGATTCACTGTTATGTATTTTTAAAAAGTAACTATTACAAGACTGAAAGAACTTACTACTAAAATTGGAGTCTTAAAGGCTGATTTAAAAAGTAGCTTCAGTAACTAAATGGCCCCATTTTCTTTTCCATCAGAGCCAAGAACAATGCTGGTAGAAATCTGCTGGGTTTTTTTCTGTAGAACACCCACTATTTTTCCAGGGTCTTTCTGGGCCTGAGCATCACGCCTTTAATTCCCAAGTACCTACTGGGCACTTTCATGCAAGCACTTCAAACCAACCAAACATGTCTTCTCTCCCCACACCTGTTCCTCCTTGCCTTCTTCCCTTGATAACCACCCACATGGGCAGTCTTAAGAGTTCTCCCTGAACAAGGAAAGTGTGAGAGAAAGTTAACCACAAACCAGCCAGCCACTCTACTGCTGAAACATCTGCTTAATCCATCGCCTCCTTCTATTCCCATTGGCTTGGTATCTTCACCTTAACTACTTACTACAATAGCTCAGTAAACACCTGGTAAACACCTCTTATCCTTCGAAGACTGCTGAAATGTCAACTGTGTGGACCCTCTCCTAACTATCCCCCTCCCTCCTTTCTGTTCCTACATGCCTTGTACAGGTAACAATCTGAAGTGTATACTCCTCGAGAGCCAGGACTATGGTTAATCTATCTTTGTAGCTCTGAGGACTAACAAATTGACTTATATACATAGAAGGTTCTTAGTAAATGTTTGCTGAATGAATGACTGAGCTCATAACTGATACCCCAATTTCAGTCCCCTTCTTGCCTGTGATCTTTTAAAAATGCATTTTACCACTTCGTTCCATTTGTGCAGGTTTTCCCTCTTCAACTAGGCTTTAAGTTCTTTTTTTTTCTTTTTGCCTGCATGTGAGAATGCATTTAAGTTCCTTGAGTGAAAGGAACCATTCTGTGTACACAGCAAATATTCAATAATCCTTTATTAATAAAGGAATTAAGGGGAGAAGATTAACACTTTGAATTTTAATGAGTAGTGGAGAGGCATATGATAAGATAGGTAAAGCATAATCCCAGTAACCACCTTCATATTTAAATCTGAGCTATATATAGAAGTAAAATCATATGGGATAACATCCTATACCAAAAAATTATACTATGTTATAGTTTTTTGAAAATTCAGGTTATAATTTTCCTAAACAACCTAAATACTGTAGAACTCATTCCAGATGGCTTACATGAAATGTCCGTAAGTATTAGATTAAATAAAATCTCTGTATTAGGTCAAAAGAATAATCACGTAATGAGACATAGATTGGATCATGAAAAACCAAAAATTTACTTTTATCAACATAGCTCTTCACATTAAGGTTCAGTAAGGAAAAATTATTCATAAATTTGATCACGTGTATGTGTGTCTTTATCACCCTATCATAAATTAAGTCTTGAGGAAATTAAAGGAAGGAAATTAAAGGTTGTTTATTAAGACACAAACTTACTGGGCTTTGCTTACATAGAAATTTAAAAGCAAAAACTACCAAGAGTTTTGTCACATGATATTTTATCCACCAAAAGCCAGTTTGGTTATCCCACCCTCAATTCCCCCTCATTAAGCTTAGAACTTCTGATATTTTGTTACTCTACAGATCAACTTAAGTCATGACTCTTCCATTAGCTCTCTAGATCTCCTCTCCCACTCCAGGCTGCTGGGCAACTACCCCTCTCCCACATCAGCAAAAGACTAAGGGTGCAACGTCTGGAGAAGGTAAAACAGACGATGTTTGGACTGTAGGATAGAGGGTACGAGTTTATAGTGAAAACGAGGCAATTAAGTGACATGCCTACACACATACTGAATGTTGAATTCCCCCAGCTCTCTTCCCTTTCTCCTCCCAAAACTTTGGCAGCCAGGCCTTTATCTCCACACAGGGGAATCTGGCCATTGGAAAAGAAAAAAATCCTAAACATAGTGACATCTAGGGTTCCCCAACTAATGCCCTAGCCAGATCACTTTGGTGAAGCTCAAAGTCGTGAACCCTAGCCATATGCTTAGAGCTTCCGATTAGCTTTTTAGGTGTCCATTCTTAATTATGAGTAGATAACCAAGATTCACGAAACATCTGAAGAAAATAGAGACCAAAAATTAGAAAAGAACACTGCAGAGGAAACAGACTATGCAAAGAAAAGAAAAACAAATAAACAAAAAAACACTACATAATATCAAAGGAATAAGATAGTGCATCCATAAAGGATAGGATATTAAGAAATAAAAACTCAACAGAAGGCCTGGAAAATAAAGATGAAGAAATCTTCTAAAAAGCAGAGCAAAAACATTGAGAGATGGAAAAACAGGAGAGGAGAAATAATAAAATTAGAGGACAAGTCCAGAAGGCCCAGCATCCAAAAAGAGAGTTCCCAAAAGAGAGAACAGAGAACGGGGGTAGGGGAGGAAACATCAATAAAATAATTCAGAACTAAAGAACATGCATATCCATATTGAAAAGGTCCACTGAGTGTGTACTACAACAAATGAAAACAGACTAATTCTGTGAAATTTCATAACACTGGTGTCTTAGTCCATGTGTGCTGCTATAATAAAATACCACAGACTGGGTAATTTATAAACAGAAATTTATTTCTGTGAGAAACTTATTTCTCACAGTTCTGGAGGCTGGGAAGTACAAGATCAAGGTATCAGCAGGTTTGGTGTCTGGTGAGGACCCAGTCTCCGCTTTCAAGATGGTGCCTTGTTGCTGCGTCCTCCAGAAGGCTCAAACGCTGTTTCCTCACATGGAGGAAAGGACAGAAGGGCAAGAGAGCACACCCTTCAACCTCAAGGCCTTTATAAGAATGTTGAGACTTCATGAGGGGTTAGTCCTCATGAAGGCAGAGGGCAGAGCCCTCATAACTTAATCACCTCCCAAAGGTCACACCACTTAATACTGCTGCACTGGGAATTAAGTTTCAACACGAATTTTGGAGGGGACGCTATCATTTAAACCATAGCAACTGGGAACAAAGAAGAGAGCCTACAAAAGCTTCCATAAAGAAAGCATCAGGACTCACAATGGCACCCAGGTTCTCAAAAACAGCACTAGAAGACGACAACAGAATCTGGTAAAGTTAAAGCTACACACCCAGCAATTTCACTCCTAAATATACACTCCAGAATTTGTCACATAATAGCCAGGATACATGTACAAAACTATTCGTAGTAGCATTATTTGTAATAGCTCCAAACTGGAAACAATCCAAATGTTCACCAAGATAGAAGCGAAAGAGGTAGTTTCACATGATAGAATACTATACAGCAATGAAAATTAACCAACTACAGCTACTATAACAAAATGGATGTTGAGAGGAAGAAGCTAGACACCGAGGCATTTATAAGGTATGATTCTATTCATATAAAGTCAATAACAGGCAAAAATAAACTATACCATTTAGTGATACACACATATGTGGCAATAAAGAAAAGAAGGGAATGATTAACCAAAAGTCAAAGGCAGGAGTAAGTTCCAATTGGAGAAAGGAACACAGGGGGCCACTGGCGTGCCCTCAATGTTCTATTTTATAACCTGTGTAGAGATTAGTGAAGGTTTGTCTTATAATTATTCATTAAACCTGTGGTCCCCAACCCCCAAGCCACAGACCAGTATGGGTCTGTGGCCTGTTAGGAACCGGGCCGCATAGCAGAAGGTGAGCAAGGGAAGCTTCATGTATATTTACAGCCGCTCCCCATGGCTCACATCACCGCCTAAGCTCCACCTCCTATCAGATCAGTGGCAGCATTAGTTGCAGAAAAACAAGCTCAGGGCTCGCACTGATTCTGCATTATTTCATTATACATTACAATGTAATAATAATAGAAATAAAATACACAATAAATGCAATGTAATTAAATAATCCCCAAACCATCCCCCTGCCCCCTGGTCTGTGGAAAAATTGTCTCCCATGAAACTGGTCCCTGGTGCCAAAAAGGCTGGGGACCAGTACGTTAAATATTAAATATTTTTATGAGCAATTATAAGAGCTATCAACTTTTTGTATCAGAGAGTCGGTTATGTTACTCATTGAATACACCATCCACCATGTCTATTCCTTGTATTATATTGGCTCAATTTAGCCCTTGTATTTATGGATACAGGCTACACTTGATAACAGCACATTTTATTTTGCTGTTTTATGTCACCTATTTTAGGAAATAGTGTTTCTTGCATTTACCTGAATAAGTGTCACATTCAAAAACAAGCACAATTGAAAAGATAAGTCTATACATCTGGCTTCTTGTCCATTTCAGTTTACAAAATTTCCTATAACATCAGTCTTCAGATAAGTCATCAAGAAGGATGGATTCAAATTCTTGAATTCTTCTCTTCACTTTTTATTCTCAGAAAATTGTATTATTTGTATTTTCATAACAGCCTCCTCAATGATCCTACTTATTGTCCTGCAGGATGACAGCGTTCAAGGGATTAATGTGATTTTCTCCATAGTAAAGTCATTCTTTTTGATTTTCACACACAAATTCTGAATCAATTGAGAGAGACAGATAAGTAAACATATAGTAATAAAAATCTTACGTTTTCACATTAATAGAGCTATTGGAAAATGTGGCTTAGAAGTAGCAAAAAAGGCTTTCGACTATTGCAACTCAGATACAGAGACTTCTCTATTCTGTCCCAGGCAGCGGAGATTCCCAATAAGGTCAGGGTCTTTATCTCTGAGGTAACCACATGGTTAAGAATAGAACAAGGAAAACTGGTAGTCAGGAGCCTACAGGAGACACTAGAGAAATCTGAGCAACCCACATCCCCCATTCCTTGTCCCAAAGCCACAGGTTAGATCATCCACTTTTTCTTCCTGGGGAGAAACTAGTGCGCAGAAGAAAAAATCCCAGGGCGTTATTTTAATGGACATCACTCCCTTTGGAAACAAGATGCACTCACCCAGAATAAAAGATGGGTTTGACCATGGAAAACTTGGGGCAAACTTATTTGTTAAAGAAAAATATTGTTTATCTGAATTTCACATTTAACTGGAAATCCTGTATTTTTATTTGTAAATATGGTAACCCTGAAAAAAGCATAAGTGTTCCCCAATATCCTTTCAGTTTATTTTCTTCAAGTGATTCTCTAAATTTATTTTCCTCAGCAGTTTTTTTTTTT